GAGTGAGGGCTGTCACACAGGGTCAGAGTGAGGGCTGTCACACAGGGTCAGAGTGAGGGCTGTCACACAGGGTCAGAGTGAGGGCTGTCACACAGGGTCAGAGTGAGGGCTGTCACACAGGGTCAGAGTGAGGGCTGTCACACAGGGTCAGAGGGAAGGCTGTCACACAGGAAGATCAGAGTGAGGGCTGTCACACAGCAGCTTGAGGTGGCTGTTCCGGGGAGGGTTACCTCATGCGTCTCTGCTTACATCCCTACAGGGGTTGGGGCCTAGGGTACTTTAGAATTCTGCTTTCCATCCTCCTATACAAAATGTTTTCCCATGTTAAAGAAAAACAAACAAAGACAAAAACCAAACACCTGATATGTCATTCTGGTTAGAAAACTCCAACCCCTTTTTTGTTAGAACTTTAGAAGAAGAAGAAGAAAAGCTAAGAAGAAGAAAGTGATGTTTTCCTGTCAGTGTGCCAGTTAGATAAGAATGCGTGCATGTGGAGCCCTGTCTGTCTGCCACTGTTCCTCAAAGAAGTGGTACAGTCTTTGCAACCATATGTTAGTGGCCGTGATTATCTTCCACAAATATCAAACTGAGGCACAGGCTGGTGTTGTCAGAATTTTGTTTGGTCTGCCAGCTCACAAATAACAACAAGGGGACTTACTAATTACAAAATCTCAGCCTTAGCTTAGGCTTCTCCCCAACTAGCTGCTGTGACTTAAATTAACTGCTTCTATTAGTCTATATTTTACCATGCGGCTCTTCTCTTTCATTCTATATGCCTGACTCCCTTCCAGTCCCGTTGACATCTTCCTGGCATAATTCATGTGCCTAGATCCCTCCTCCTCTTCCCCTCTGTTCCTGGAAGTCCCGCCCCTTCTCTCCTGCCTAGCTATTGGCCATTCAGCTCTTTATTAAACTAATCTCAGTGACACATCTTCACATAAGTAAACAAATATTCCACAGCTGGCTAATTAGTAGGTTGGAATTAGTTGGAGTGGGCGTGTGCCCGTCATTAGGATTACATTCTACTCATTTCTGAGTCTTGCATTTTCTCCTGCATCATATGTGTTTTCTGCAGAATCCCTGTCAGTCACGTCCGAGTCTGCACAGTACTCCACAGTTTTCTTACCCCCCCCAACGTGAACACATAAGCCCCTCCTCTGACATTCCTGAACTTTAAACAAGATTGCAGTGGTCTTTCTGCACACCAGTCTAGTTGTATAAACATAATTCTCATAGACCCCATCCCTAGAAGTAAGTGTGTGGTTTCAGTGAGCCACCAGACCGCTGTCCAAAAAACCGAGTCACCTTCCACCAGCCCTTTGACAGTTCTTCACCACAGATTGGATGGCATAGCTTGCCACTTTTTAAAAAAATTAAATAAAAGTCACATAATACAAAATCCAACTTTTTAAGCATTTTCAGTGGATTTTAGAATGGCCAAGTGCATGTGTCACCTTCCCAGAACATGGTCACCCTCTCCACAAGTGTCTGCTCTGTGGCCTTTATTCCTGACCCTCCCCCCCCCTTTGGAGCCTGCAGTCACCCATTGGCTCTGGCCCTTAGGGATTTGCCTGTCATGGGCGGCTCACATAAACAGAAACACATGATATTCATTTATTTTTGAGAATATGCTGGATGTCCCTACCTTTGAATCAACGAGTTGAGCATTTGCTCATTTTGTCCCTTTATGTTTATTCTTTGGTGGTGTCTTAGTTAGCGCTTGTATTGCTGTGAAGAGACACCATGATCATGGCAACTCTTACAAAGGGAACATTTAGTTGGGTGGTTCACTTACAGCTCAGAAGTTCAGTTTATTATCATCACGGCGGAAAGCAAGGCAGCATGCAGGCAGTCGTGGTGCTGGAGCTGAGAGTCCTTGCAGCTTGATTCAGAAGCAACAGGAAGTGAACTGAATCGGAAGGTGTGGCATGAGAACACAAGAGACCTCAGAGTCCACCCCCACAGTGACACACTTCCTTCAACAAGGCCACACCTCCCAGTAGTGCCACTCTCTGTGAGCTTATGGGGCCAATTATATTCAAACTACCACAGGCAGTTTGTAATGCCCTTCCACCACACTGTTTTTAGGTCTAAATGTTTCTATTAACAACCATGAAGTCTCTCTGTGTATTCACGAGTGTGCTCGTGTGTGTGTGTGTATGTGTGTGTGTGTATGTGTCTCTGTGTGTGTGTGTGTGTGTCTGTGTGTGTGTGT